GTGGATGGGGGTCCCGCCCCCTGGCGCCCGGCTGGGGGGGAGGCGCCCCCGGTCCCTGGCGCCCAGCGGGCAAACGACCACGCCCCCTGGTGCCCGACAACCTAAAAAGGTTGGGGACCACTGGTCTACAGTAATAGAAAGGTAGCTATGTTAGTCTGATCTTGCTAAAACAAAAGGAAAAAATACATAGCACTTTAAAAACTAACAAGAAGTGGGTCTGCCCCACAAAAGCTCATCACCTAATAAACTATCTTGTTAGTCTTTAAAGTGCTACGTATTTTTTCCAACTGTTCTACAGACAGTCTTAAGAGGAAGCAGGTCAGACTTCCCTTAAACCACAAAAATGGCACACAAGCATCTTTGACTACATTACACTCCTTTTAAACCTCAGATTTCAGATACAGTTGATAAGGTTGACAACTATGTGCAGAGTTTGAAAAAGACCCACTACCCTGACCAACATGACTTTCGCCTTAGTGTAGATAAGCTGCTAGCCAGACAATATATTTGTGTATGCAACTTTGTTGAAGGTGGTGTTCCTCTTCCATCAGCATAGGCTGCTAAATCCTTATTGCCTTGGTAGTGTAGACACAGCCTAAGATATCTGGGTTTCAACATTCTTGTTGTCAGCAAATAGCCGTAAGATTCACTAGTGCACCTCATATCCTAATGCAGGCCTATGCAGAGAATGACAAGAGCATCAGTCCATTAGCATGAGCAGCCAATGTTTGTGAACAGCTAAAGGTTCCAACACTGCTTACCCATACCCCTAATTACTAGGTTTGTGTATAATGGTATTCCTCAAATAGTTTTGTAAACAGCTGAAAAAAAATCAGAAATGTAATGGCATTGCGCAAGAGGGTTTTTCTTGCACAAGGGGCAGCTCCTTCTGATGCAAGAGCCTCTCCCGCAAAAATGGTGGCTCATTAGATATGCAAATGAGGTTCAGCTATATTCCACGCTTAGCCTCATTTGCATACTTCTGGAGCAAGATCGCGCCAGTGTAGACAGGCAGCAAGTTTTTGTGCAAGAACAGCCGCTTTTGCACAAGATCGAGCCAGTGTAGACAGCCATACAGTAACTACTGAAATTAATAGGATGTGTTTGAGCACATAAATACAAAGTACTCCAGAAAAAACAGGACAGAGGACTCAGATTATGTGGACACTTTAGAATAGAAGCACAAAGATATAGATATTGCAACTCAATGTATGTTTCAGACATCTATTTAGTGGAATCCACAGCCCAGGTCAGGTGCCTAGACTTCTACACTGGGGTCTCAAACTAGGGCAATCCCTAGCCAGAACGATTACAGTCTAGTTTGGGACTCTCAGGAGGCAGAGGGACTGTTCCTTACCAGCCACCAAATACTATCCTCCCTCCCCAGCCCCTGGCATCCCAAGGACATGGCTTCAGGAATCAATGGTCAGGACCCCAGGGCAGTGGAACAAGTGCACTTGCCCAGTACCTCCTGCTTCCCCTGCCACTGCAGGCAGGGGAAATGCAGGTTGGGACCAGGGATGTAATAGTGTAGTCGATTAACCCATTAGCAAAAGCGTATAGGTTAATGCTACACACATTTTCCTCCCCTGGGCCTAACAGTAAATTTTTTAGCAGTCTGGCCAGTGATGGGTCCAGGACCCCCCTTGATCAGAGGCAGCAGCACAGGGCAACAGGCAGCCAGTCCACAAGGGGAGCTGGTTTTTAAAACTCCAGCAGAATGCTCCTCGAGAGTGAGGCCGGAGCACACTGGCTGCCAGCCCTGCCCCCAGAACTACAGAAGAGTCAACTAATAAGAATTCATGAAGTTACCTGACTAGTCAATTAACCAATATTTAACATCACTAATTGGACTGCCAGGCTCTGCCAGTGATCCCTAAAGCTACACACTCAGGAATGGGGAGGAGGGCGGGAGAAGCTATGAGGGAAAGCAAGGGGCAAAGCTTGGGGGCCAGTAACAGAAAGCGCCCCCTCCACTTATATATACACACAATTCCATTTGTTACACTAGTAATCCTGCAGATGTCTCAGCAACTTGAGATTGATATCTATTTCTATTAGCATTTAAAAGGCAGCAGGCTCCATAATCAGACTTACTATTTTCACCTATTATAATAATGGAGCCTTACTTGTTCTGGTTCTCTCGGGAGTCAAAACTCCTTTATTAGAATACAACCAAAAAAAATCTAAAAAGCTCGCAAAGGTTGGAGTGAAGCTTATTTATATTCAGCCCATTATAAAAAACTTGTTGGAGCTGTAATCTCAAATTCAAACCTGAATTGTGTGTAGAATTGTGTTATATTTTCAAAAGGTAGGGGAAAATATTGCTGCATCTCAGATGATTTGGGTAACAATTCAGGAATCTTTCCTCACTTGTTTCAGTGAGGGAGCCAAATTATCCTAGATGTTGTCAGGGCCTGACTGCTCGCTAGCCCCGTACTGCGCATGCGCGTGCTGCAAATGAATGGGGGCACATGGCTGAAATCTACTCAACTATTATTTGTCGAGCCCTGGATGTTGTAATATAGGTTCTCAACTCCCCAAAAAGGAACTTCAGTGCTCTCCACAATTAACAGCTTGAGAGTTTGCTTAATAAATGGATATGGTTGAATGAATGATGAACTACCACTCAGACCTAAGATGAAAGAAGGCATTAAGAAAGTGTACTTTTTGAGCTTGAAGGATCACGGTAGAGGACACCCATCAAAAACAGTCACAAATTAAACCAACTTGACAAATTTTATTTTTTGTTCATTTCTTGCACTTGAAGTATTCTTCGATGACATCTTTGGCCTGAGATTCCTTGCCATAGTCCTAGAATGCAAAATAGTCAATTAATGGAATGAATACATTTTTTGGAATTAATATACCTTTGTTCAGATTAATTTAGCCTGGGTAGCTTAATTACAACCTATGTTAGGATAAACTTTAGTAGAAGATAGTTAATTAAGTTCAGCAGTTAATCTTTATTCTTCAACTCTGATATACAGATATGTTCATGAACACACCCACCTATCAGCAGTAACTACCACCATAACCTTTTGGTATTCAATTTAGTTTTCTTTAATATGTTAAAGAGTTGCAAACCCCTCATCTATTTCCCTCTGTTTGGTTTCTTCAATCTGTGAAGAATTTGGGATAAAAGGTATCCTGTGATACTAACTGCTAGATTCTTCCACCCTCCCACCACCACAGAGTATTTTGGAAGACTGTTCCCATGCCTCCATGCATTCAAAAGCTCTTTGCTTATATTATTATTTCTTTGTTGTACTTCCTTAGGCACAAGTAGCTGTAGGAACAAGGGCATCTGAGTGCCTGTGACTTAAGGGAACCTAATGGTAAAATGTAGGCAAACATACCTAATTGTTTTGTTAGCATGGAATCTGTGTGGAAGCCTTAACAGTCAAGGACAGAAATATGAAAATATTCAGAGTAACCATTGTGCATCCCTTAGGAAAGACATGTAGCCATTTTCAGGGACCTTAAGGACTAGCAAGTCTTTAAGGCTCGTACCATGGCTTTCTTATTGCCAGTACCATCCTAATAGTTTCTGCAGAACATCATCAAGTTAAGCAGACAATTTACTGGCATTTGGTTATTTTTTTTAAAACTAGAACTAGACCACTGGTAATATTACATTTCTGTTTTAAGACTAAACTATTACTTTCTATCAATCCAGTATTCAAATGTCCAGTAACGCGTTACAAAATAATTTTAAAAAGCTAGAGTGAGCTGAGATTATTAATTTATAATTAACTTTAGTGCACATTCAGCAACAAAATAGCTTTAACAGTGTTAACTCATGCATGCTTTTTTTGCAATAACGGAAACTTTTGGAACAGAAAACTGGCACTACATTTACAGAGTAAAAATATGTTTCCACTTATAAACCAGAAATATAGTTTATTTTTAGAAAACTGATGAAACAATGGAAAAAACTATCATCTTACTTTGACAACCACACAACTGCAGCCCACTACTTTGCGAGGTTTTCCTTCTCTGTCGATTTTGCAGAGACCTACCCACTCACCCAGTTTCTTGTTGTCATCAACCTGTTAAAAACATTAGTATGTTAGAACCGCACTCTCCCTGATACAATCAGAACAGGATCAAAATTGCTACACTCAGAAAGATTGGTGACGTTTGTGGCTGCTTTCCTCACATATATCAGTAGAGGGAGCCAAACAATCATCATCGTGCAGCTCTACGTATTTTTAAGGAAAAAATTTTGAGACGAAGTTACACTTAAGAACCTCAGACTAACAAAACCCATTACTAGGAAGAAGTGGCAGCAACTGAGTTTTACAATTTACAAAATACATCTGTCTACTTGGACTTCGACATTACTTATTGAAAATTGTTTTGTCCTTCTTTGCCTTGTATTTTATACTCATGGTTTTGTACTGTTAGTATGTTCATCATAGCACTAAAATGCTACTCCAACAGAAATGGGCCCTTAGTTGAGTACACTACTGTATGGGCCCTTAGTTGAGTACACTATTGTATCAGATCATCTATGATAGCTCAAAATTTTAATTAATGTGTCAATACTCACTTTTATCAAGTTGATCTGGTGTTCTGCACAAAGGGCTTCAACCAATTTTACATACATTGGTTCGTCACAGTTTGAAGCAAGAACACAAAGGTGGGCTTGGCGTCTAAAATATGAAGATTTATATTCGTTACACCAATAAACCATGAATTCAAATACAGTATTCAATGTGTATTTGCCTACATTAAACCATTTTATATAAAAACTATCACAATGTATTGATTGGATCAGATTCAGTTTACAAGAGAGACTTAGTTGTGAATCAAGCTTAGAAGGATTTACAACATCAGCATCAGAGTTCATGGATCTCTAACAGAGATCCACTTCAGTTATGGAAACCATATCAAAAACTATTAAATCAAGGGTAGAGGTACAAATCGTAAATTTGGTTTAATCCCCCTGCTGTACAAGCCTTAAATGTAAAAAGGCTGGAACGCAGTGGAGGGAACATGGTGCTAGCCAGGAAGCAGCTGCCCTAGCTTGCACTGGGTTCCCCCACTGTGCTTCTGCTTTTAAAATGTATTAAAAAGCAGCAGGCTCCTAAGACATTTAAAAAGCAGAGGTGCAGAGTCTCAGACTGGGTGTGAGTTGGAAATAGTTGATTCCTGGCTCAAGCCCGGTCCCTACTGCTCCCCACAGAGATGGTGCTGGGGGGAGCTGGCTTTTAAGCTGGCTCTCCCCAGCACCAGCTTCCCCCATTACTGCCTCCTAGAGAGAAACCAGAGGACGGGGGAAGCGACTAGTCAACTACTGGATAAGCTTTTGCTTATCGGATAGTCAACTAGTCACTTATGATTGTAAAGTAAAAACCAAGTAAAAACCTATGTCCCAGCAAGGCAGGGTGAGGACAGTGCTACCTTTAAGCCAGAGGTTCCCAACCTTTTCCAGGTGGGGACCCATTTTGACAATTCAGGAAGACATGGTGACTGAGAGCAATTGAAAAAAATGTGTGAATGGCTCCTTAAGAGTCACCTGGGAGACACCTGGCAACCCTTTTGAAATATAATTGCGATCAGTATTTGGGTCCCAACCCATAGGTTGGGAAACCCTGTCTGAGCTGAGAGGCAGCACAGCTTCACAGGTACTGAGCCCCTGGCTGGGCGGGGCTGATTAATCACCTGTCCCAGCAACTCAGAGGGAATGCTGGGTGGGGACCTCAAGTTTAATTATGACCTTTGCAGTACACAATATTTGAACAGATGGGAAATACGAGAGACCCTAAAGAAGGCACTTATAGGATTCAAGCAAGGAAAACTAAGCAATGAATATTTATATATATATTATTTATTTTGTCAATTAAAATGACTGCAGTAGATTGAACTCTGCATGTATTTTTTCCCTATCAGAGCCAGACTAGAATTATAGTAGTGGTTCAATCTCTTCAATTCTATAAAAAAAATGCATGTTGGATAAAAGTGGGGGAAGTACATAACATAAGAACGACCGTACTGGGTCAGACCAGCATCCTGTCTACCAACAGTGGCCAGCACCGGGTGCCCAAGAGAGGGTGGACCGAAGACAACGATCAAGCGATTTGTCTCCTGCCATCCCTCTCCAGCCTCTGACAAACAGAGGCCAAGGACACCATTTTATCCCCTGGCTAATAGCCTTTTATGGACCTAACCTCCATGAATTTATCCAGCTTCTCTTTAAACTCTATTATAGTCCTAGCCTTCACAGCCTCCTCTGGCAAGGAGTTCCACAGGTTGACTACACGCTGTGTGAAGAACTTTCTTTTATTAGTTTTAAACCTGCTACCCATTAATTTCATTTGGTGTCCTCTAGTTCTTCTATTATGGAAACTAATAAATAACTTTTCTTTATCCGCCCTCTCCACACCACTTATGATTTTATAGTCCTCTATCATATCCCCCCTCAGTCTCCTCTTTTCTAAACTGAAAAGTCCCAGTCGCTTTAACCTCTCCTCACATGGGACCCGTTCCAAACCCCTAATCATTTTAGTTGCCCTTTTCTGAACCCTTTCCAAGGCCAAAATACCTTTTTTGAGGTGAGGAGACCACATCTGTACACAGTATTCAAGATGTGGGCGTACCATAGTTTTATACAGGGGCAGTAAGATATTCTGGGTCTTATTTTCTATCCCTTTCCTAATAATTCCTAGCTTCCTATTTGCCTTTTTGACCGCCGCTGCACTCTGTGTGTAAGTTTTCAGAGAACTGTCCACGATAACTCCAAGATCTTTCCTGATTTGTCGTAGCCAAATTAGCCCCCATCATACTGTACGTATAGTTGGGGTTATTTTTCCCCGATGTGCATTACTTTCCACTTATCCACATTAAATTTCATTTGCCATTTTGTTGCCCAATCACTCAGTTTGGTGAGATCTTCTTGGAGTCCCTCACAGTCTGCTTCTGTCTTGACTATCCTAAACAGTTTGGTATCATCTGCAAACTTTACTACCTCACTGCTTACCCCTTTCTCCAGATCATTTATGAATAAGTTGAAAAGGGCTAGTCCTAGGACTGACCCTTGCGGGACACTACTAGTTACCCCTCTCCAATCTGAAAATTTACCATTTATTCCTACCCTTTGTTTCCTGTCTTTTAATCAGTTCTCAATCTATGAAAGGACCTTCCCTCTTATCCCATGGCCATGTAATTTACACAAGAGCCTTTGGTGAGGGACCTTGTCAAAGGCTTTCTGAAAATCCAAGTATACTTAAAGATAATGTACCACTTAAAGATAATGGGATCTAACAGAGGAGCCACCTGGATCATGGGCATGAGTTTGGTTCTGGTCTCCGGGACCATTCTTTTGGGGAAAAAAAGTAGTATGGAATGAATATTAAAAGGGTCTGAGTCACCACACCCATACCTGATTATAACCAAAACACCAAGTGTTCCATCCCAGTGCCACGCATCCCATTATCTCGAGATGAAGAAGGCTAAAAATCAGGTTCTTAGCATTGCACTCACGACTTTCTAAGTATTCACCTACTGAATGTCACCATGATCCTGTGTGAATACTCATTTTGTTCCTACCTTTTTCTTCCCCACCAAATAAGATTTTACATTGTTTTTTTTGAGCTGCTGATATGTTTTTCGGCAATATTATATTTTCTGAAGTATGTTTCAGGTCGTTGACTGCACACAATTTCTTTTTCCTTTCTCACTTTTTTTATATCTGTCTATTGCCTTGAAGTTACAGGTTTGTCAGACTATTTTTATCACTCATAAAAAGAGTGAAGGGGTATCCGACATTGTTGAGAGTCATCATTCAAAACCTGTAGTTTTATTGTAGTTTTGAAAGTCATTTTATCTACACCTAAAATTATTCACATGCCTCTCTCTTACTTTTCCAGTAAGAGTGTGTTCAGAGACCAACTCATAACATATTCATAATAAGTTTCAGGTTCATGTTCTGTTTTGAAAGGTTTCCTTTACAATATATTATACAGACATTACCAAAAAGCTTAAGACAAATGTATCTAAATAAACCTATCCCCAATATGATTGTGATAAAAGTTAAAGGTGCACTATTTAGTTTAACGGACTCCAAGTCAAACAATTTTATCTTCAATAATCCCTTGAAAAGTATCAGCCCTCCATTGCAAGAGCCATACCAAAGAAGTTTAAATAGAGACTCAAGCAAAGGACACTCAAGACTCGATTTCCTCAAGTCAAATCACATTGTCTGTGCTATTCCACAACTGTTCACCTTACATGATGCAAGCATACAAGATAAATACAGGAAACTGAACATCTTGGCACTGTACCCTTTAATTCTTGGATTACTAGTTTTACTTAGGGCAGTAAAGCAAAGGGCTGTTAGTCTCCTTGTTTATACGATCAGCTTTCAAAGCAAAACCTTTTAAGGCCAATGGAGGGCCCATTACCTACACAAATCATATGCCACACACACATTAACGTGACTATACAGATTTACTGGTTAGAAAACAGTCCCAGGATAATACCTACTTGTCCAAGGCTTTGGCAGCTTCACGAATACCACGAGCTAAGCCATCGTGGATGAGTGCGGTCTTCAGCACTTCTTGCAGGGCGGTGTTAACATCCATTACACCTCCAGCAGTAATGCTAAACAATCGAACACAGAAACATGACGCCTACGTGACTATACAGATTTACTGGTTAGAAAACAGTCCCAGGATAATACCTACTTGTCCAAGGCTTTGGCAGCTTCACGAATACCACGAGCTAAGCCATCGTGGATGAGTGCGGTCTTCAGCACTTCTTGCAGGGCGGTGTTAACATCCATTACACCTCCAGCAGTAATGCTAAACAATCGAACACAGAAACATGACGCCT